AGCTTGCATTTCTCGTAGTACCCTTAGTAATATAATATTTACAGAACTCCTTGGATCAATCAAAACTTGTTTTACATTAGTATCATGTTCAAGTAAAGATATTACCAGTGCGTCATTATGTGGAGTTGTCACTCCTTCGGTATCTGCGTCATCGAACGAAATACTTTCATTTTCAAGGACCTGCCGAACCCGTTTCCCGTGTGTAATCGTTACCTTAGAAACCTTGGTGGAGGCTATGTGGGTTATGCCGTGAATGTCTTCTCCCCCGCTTATGACATTCACTGTCCTCTTAGGTGAAGGAGGTTGTGGTGGCTCTTGTCTGTTTTTCATATAAGCTTGTTTTCCTTTCTCACTAAATAACTCAGTGAGTTACCCTTGCTTCAATAAATGATCTACTTCACTCTGCATGAATCTACATTCTGAAGTTTTGTGCCCGTGATCGTTGTGAAATTCGCACCAATGATCCGGATTGCGTCTACTTGGATTTGACCGCATCTCTTTTGGCCACCGTACCTTATCTCCCATGCTTCTTAAAACAGCTACGAGCTCGGAGGTAGAGACATTAAAATTATATCCACCGAATCGTGCCTTTAAACTCCTGTAATCATCTCGTTATTCTTGTCTGTTCCGATCATTCCTGAACTTTGAAGAAGAGCCAGAATTCCGGTTCCTCGATTTTTGATCATATTGCTGGCTATCTTGTTTCGACCGTGGGTCTTTTCCTGCAGGTCCCATATATGGATCGTACCTGTTTTTACCTGATTTTTTTTTTATTTCTGACCTTCGGGTACCGCCCCTTTCTTCATGATTAAGCTTAGGTACGGTATCTTCTTCGATTCGCAGCTTCGTACTATACCTGTTGTAAACATCATTCCATGTGGTTGCAGGAAATTCTCGAAGACTTTCTTTGAGTCGTCTCGTGGCTTCAGAACTTTTGTCATTTAAATTACTTGCAAAAGCTATAGCAGCCCAATTGTCAGGCACACGAGGTAGAGTCATTCTTTCACGCTGGAATCTATCAACAAAGTTTCTAAGCAACTCTGAATCCCCTTGTTTGATTTTGAAAATATCTTCCATTCTTTTCTCAACCTTTTGTGCTCCCGAATGTGCTTTAATAAAAGAATCTGCAAGCTCAGCAAAAGAATTAATAGAATTTTCAGATAAAAGAGAATACCAGGTTAATGCACCCTTGGTGAGTGTTTCTCCAAATTTCTTGACCAATACTGATTCAATTTCTTGTTTGGTCAAGTCGTTGCCTTTTACGCCGGTTGTAAATGCAGTCACGTGGTCACGTGGGTCTGTAGTACCATCATATTTCGGGATGTCAGGCATTTTGAACTTTTTCGGAATTGGAAGGGGAGCAGCACTAGGCTTCCATGGTTGTTGTGAGTATTTGTCCATGTCTACTCCTTTTATTACAGGTGGAACTCCAGGGATTTGTTCAATACGCTCATTTTGTTCCTTAAGCTGTTTCTGCAAGGTTAGTACTAAATTTTGCAAATACGAATTATTTAAATTACCTGGTCCCCCTTCTTGTGGTTCACTGGGGGTTGCTCCGTTTCCAGAATTATCAAGACCAGAACGGGGGTTCTCCAATGTATTATTATTAGGAGTTGGTGTAGGTGGCGCAGCAGGCAATCGACTAACAAGTGCCTGAAGAGCTTTGCCGACCTGTGCATCAATTAGCTTTTGCAAAGCTTCAGTTGTAACTCCTTCAAAATGTTCAGATTGCTCTTGTTGATCAGCACGGGATTCAGTAACAGGAGTGCCTTCACGAGATTGACGTGGTGAATTTAGAGGAGAGGGAACCACGTCATCTTGATTTTGATGTATTTGATTCTCATGGTTTCCCAATGTGTTATTACTGTTGTTGTTGGTATTGTTGTTTGACATGGTGACGACAATATAGATAATATATAGTTTAAAAGAAAAGATTATCAGATTCCCGGTAACGGAACCAATTTGTTTAACCAAAAATCTGAGTCTTTGGTCAAAGCTAAAAAGAAATTCGGGTTACTGATAATCAGGAGACAAAATAAAATACTTTTGAGAATGATGGTAAAAAAGCAAATAGTTGTGTATTTCAATGAATTCTCAATAGTATTCTGTGTCCTTACAAATGATGATACTTCTTCCTTTTATAGATAATTTTAGGTAAAGGAATGAAGCCTCAGTTTTAATGATATAATTATGAGTATTAAATGACATTAAATAAGCCGTTATACAATCATTCCTATTAAATACCAATTTTGTAACGTATCAAGTATTTAATAATGAATTTGGACTCCTTTCTGTCATCAGATCTTTGTCTTCAATGCCTTCTAATCCGTTGGCTGTAAATAATTTAAATTGGTACGAGACTCGTATCTATACGTCGTCTCGTGCCTATTTAAATTCTTCTTCCCGTGGCTGTCTCCATCCGTGCCTCTTAGTCAATTGTTGCGCTTTGACCATTTAACTAATCCACGTGTCATGTCACATCATCTTTAATATAAACTCAGTTTTTTCCCAATACAAGGACGAAGGAGTAATTAATTCTAACAGAGTTTGTCCTTATCAAGTTTTGAGTATTCTGAATTTAGAAGCGGACAGCTATATCATTGTCATTGTCGGCTGTGTTTAGATGAAAAACACACCGTTTACTCGTATAAATATTTTGATTTAGTCACACAAATGATTATAGGACAAAATAAGTTATTATTTTTTCTCATAACAATATATTGAAAAGAATCATAACCAATCATGGGAAGTTTCAGAGTCTTCTTTGTTTTCTTTATCTCATTTGATTCTGTCTACGAACTAAAGATAAATGATATGGAACTTGGTGGAATATAGACGATTTTTAAGAGAAGATGGAAGATACCCTTCATGTTCCGTAGAAAAAAAAATTGTTTTCATCTTTTTAAACTATTCATTATACATTAAATTATGATGAGTTCACAATAATGATTCACGGATTACTGCATGAAAAAGATCAAATTTGAAAAACAAGTTGATTATTTGAACTCCACCTCGCAAAAATCCATATAAAATGTGATTAGAGTGTAGGGAATTTTGTATCATGTCAATAATGAAAGACAAGGGAATGTCTAATGACAGAAGGTTTTTCCTATACCATTAATTAATTTCGTTTACCATTGCAAGCATTAACTAATCATTGAGATTTCTAGTCTTCAAACCCCTTTAAACATATTCAAATATTCCAAACCGTATTTGTGTTTTGGAATCTTTGGAATAAAATTAACTCAAAATAAGTCGTTTATTTGGTAGCACAATATCAAACTCAATGGTACATACTACATCTTAAACAAAGTCATCCAGATAACAACTTGTCTCAAAATTCTAATTTAATTTTTCACAAAGACTTTACGAACAGTACTTATTGCAGAAAAAAATTGTGGCCATGAAATAAATATCTGTTTTGGTGCCCCACAAGTGCTGTCAAACTCATTAATTTCTCAAAACCCTTTGATAAGACAAATGCAAGTCAGAATATTGGAGAGAAAATTCCAAAATTCAAAATATAGCAAAAGGGTATTCCCGTTGTCCACTTTTTATTTTGTATTCCCTTAAGGAGAAACTAAATAAAGTATGTATTTTACAATTTTATTTATAATACTGATAGCATTTCAAAAACTATTAAGAAGTAACTTGGGGAATGAGTAATTAAAGATAAAGGTAAAATATGAAAAGAATTTTTTTTTTGAGTTTATCTTGATTTGTTAAAATGGACAAGTAAACGAGAAAATAAAATTTTAGTAAAGTGAACAAATAAAAATGAACGGAGAAAGTAAAATAGAATTTAAAGAGGAAAAAAGAAGAAAAAAAAAACAAAATTCATACTAATAAATTAAATAAACCTCAAAAATCGAATCATCTGCTGAATACGACCTTCTCTTTTTAAGGCACCTCCATCTCCTATCTATTTGATTCCTAAGCCTTCACTTTCATTTTCCACAGCTTCCACTCTCCTTCCTAACTATTATTACATCATTTTCTCTCTCAACTTTCTTTGCTTCCGAAGAAGTAAATAGAGAAGAGAACATAATATAATCCACCAGCTTGCTGCACTTAGCATTCAACTAAAAAAGTTACAAATTTTGCCTTGTTTTTCTGACCTTCTTGGCCAGCATTGCAATATCACATGGGGAGGCATTCTTGCTGTTACAAACAGAAGTTAAGGAAAGGCCTTTGGTCTCCTGAAGAAGATGAGAAACTTATAAAGCATATTACTAAATATGGTCACGGCTGTTGGAGTTCAGTCCCTAAATTAGCAGGTGCACTACTATACTAATTAAACAACTT